TTTGTACTCACTTCGAAATTACCATAGCTCAACGACCCCTCTCTCTTCAAGACCGACGTCTGCTATGTCAACGGCGAATGGGTGAAGGCTGCTTCAGGCAAGATCTTTAAAGTATACGACCCCGCGACCGGCGACTTAATAGGGTCGAGCCCCGAGTTCACCGGCAAGGACACCGAAACTGCCATTGCTGCGGCGGCGGCGGCGTTCCCAAGCTTTCGGACGAAAACTGGTCGTGAGAAAGCGAAGCTGCTCCGAAAGTGGTACGACCTGATGATAGAGAATGCGGAAGACCTCGCGAAGTTGATTACATGGGAAAATGGGAAGCCGCTTACGGACGCAAAGGGGGAGGTGAACTATGCTGCTAGTTTCTTCGAATGGTTCAGTGAGGAGGCGCCAAGGATATACGGCGATTCCATACCAGCTTCAGTACCGGGCAACAGGGTGATAACAATCAGGCAACCGGTCGGTGTCTGTGGGTTGATTACGCCGTGGAACTTCCCTGCGGCAATGGTCACACGTAAACTCGGTCCTGCTCTAGCTGCTGGCTGTACGGTCGTCGTTAAGACGCCAGGAGAGACTCCATTTACGGCCTTGGCCTTAGCCGAGCTAGCCCACCGAGCTGGAATTCCGAAAGGCGTTGTTAACTTCGTGACGACCCTAGAAAACACACCCGAAGTTGGAGAAACGTTGACGACCCATCCTACCGTTCGAAAAATCTCGTTCACGGGGTCAACAAATGTAGGCAGTCTCCTTATGAAGCAGGCATCGCCAACTCTGAAGATCCTGTCTATGGAGCTAGGAGGCAATGCACCGTTTATAGTTTTTGATGATGCCGATGTCGACGCGGCAGTTGCGGGTGCTATCGCCTCTAAATTCCGCTCTTCGGGACAGACTTGCGTGTGTGCAAACAGGATATACGTCCAGAAGGGTATTTACGACGAGTTTGCAAAGAAGTTCGCAGAGAAGGTCAAAGGATTCAAGGTCGGCAACGGGTTTGACGAGGGAATCACTCACGGACCTCTAATCCACAACCGTGCCATCTCGAAAGTAGAAGCCCACATCAAAGATGCTCAGGAGAAGGGTGCTAAGGTTGTTGTTGGTGGGCAGAAGATGCCGGACCTGGGTTCCAACTTCTATCAACCTACTGTTATCACCGGCATGACGAAGGACATGGCTATCGCTGGTGAAGAGACCTTCGGACCTGTTGCTGGTCTGTTCCCATTCGCGACGGAACAGGAAGTCGTCGATCTAGCAAACTCGGCTGAGGTCGGTCTCGCGGGGTATTTCTTCTCGCGAGACCTAGAGCGGATCACCCGAGTGGCCGAGGCTTTGGAAGTGGGCATGGTGGGTGTTAACACCGGGCTGATCTCCGATACTGCCTCACCATTTGGCGGTGTCAAGCAATCTGGATTCGGTAGGGAGGGTTCTAAATATGGTATTGAGGAGTACATGAACATCAAGACGATAACGTGGGGAGGCATGGACAAACCGTTGCAGAGCTAAAGGCAGTTGGAGGTCATTTATAATGGTCAGACCATGGTATCGGCGTTTACCAGTTAAAAAGGCAGCAAAAGGCTTTCATAATCTAAGCTTCTAGAATAATGTCACGCAAGTGAGAACAATCAGTACCTATTACATGTAAAAAGGGAAAAGCGAAAAGGGGAGGACTCAGGAGTAGAGACCCTTACGTGCATGTCCCCGATATCGATATAGAGGATCCACTTAAATGCATTCGCCAAGAATTTCCAACACCGCCAAAGCTTAGGCCAATAACGAATAACATCTCTTATCTGGAAATCAAAAATTTCTAATGGTCACTCAATAGCCTCACATCACAGCAATTGAGCCCCAATGATTCGGCATCCGTTACGATCGGCTGTTGGCCGCTCGAGGCCAGATCTCAATCGAGTCACAGACGGCATCGCGGCCTCACTACGGCAATTCTCAGTCTCTGCGAGGCGGAGTGCTGACGACGACGATGACAGCCAACCGAAACCTACCAGACGTCAGCGCAGCGCCGCGGCCGCCGACGAGCTAATCTCTATCTTAGACGGCTCGTTCTCGAACAAGACGCCCGCTACGAGTTCGGCATCGAGACCCGTGAACAGGACTTCCTTGTCGGACTCTCCGGCCCGAGGCCCCAATATCATCAGCGTGCAGAGCCTACCACGCAGCGGCGCCCTCTCCTCGACCGGCTGGATCAACGAGATAGCCAGCAGCCCGTCGGCGCCAAGCGGCAACCGCAACGTCATCCGAGGCAAATTCATCGGCCGCGGACGAGGAGGCGGCAACTTCGCCGCTTCAGGCCGCATGGGTGGAGGATGGGACGACCGACCGCAGCGAGCACGCGGCGGCGACGGGGGGCGCGGACGCGGACGCGGACGCGGAGGTGGACGCGGAGGTGGACGCGGACGACGGCGACGAGACGACGGCGACGGCGAATTCGGAGGCAGGAGGCAGGGCGAGGGGGCCGGGGGTGGCAAGGGGGAGCCCCTCGATAACCCGCCCCGCGTGCAGGCGCACCTCGAGCAGCAAGAGACCGGCCGCACGCTCGCCTTCAACCCGTCCCTGACCCTGGAGTCGCTCGCGGGCTACGGGCCGGCCGTCGCCACCTCGGGCACGCCGTTCGGCCAGGGCGAGACGGTGCTGCGGCAGGCGCGGGTGCTCGGCGGCGGCGAGGCGTTCCACCCGACGCACCTGGTGCACCCGGACGCGGTGCGGGCCGCGTGGCGCGACGGCACGGGCGTGTTCGTGCCGCCGACGCCCGAGGCGCGGCAGTGGGTCGACACGATCCTCGAGCGCATGGTGGCCAAGAGCGGCGAGCCGTTCGGGGCGCCGGCCGAGGTCAAGCAGGCGGTGCTCGAGGACGCGCTGCTGGGCCGGTACGACGGCCCCCGGTACGCGGACCCCAAGGACGCGCTGGCGACGGTCCGGAGCTACGTCAAGCGGGACGGCACGTGGAACGCGCAGGCGCTGAGGGGGATGGAGGCCAAGATCAGGAGTCTGCTTGAACGGCGGGGAGAGGGTGCTGGGGGGGCTGCTGGGGCCAAGGCTTGAGACGGAGAGATGTCGAGGGGGGTCCCGTCGTGGTTTAGGGATGGATGGATGGATGGATGGATGGATGGATGAATGATTTGTAATATACAAGTCTAGTGTACAGATATCACACACGCCATGCACAACTCTGTTGACTTCATCTTGCTTGCTCCTTTGCACCTTTTGAATTGTTTTTTGTAGATACAATCGTGCATGCACACTGGTTATCCGTTATAAACAAATACCGCTCGCTATATTATGCACCTCTATTACTTGGCAGCCCCCTCGGCCGCCTTGAGCGCCTCCTTCTCGGCGTCGTCGATCTCGGCCATCCGGGCCTTGACGATCTTCTCGAGCTGCTTGTCGGCGGTGCGCTTGAGGTCGGGCCCGATGGCGCCGTCCCGCCTCCAGGTGACGTGCAGCTTGTCGCGCTTCTGGCGCACGGCGCGGACGCGGTCGCGCCACTCGTGGCAGAGGGCCCGGGCCCGGCGGGTCAGGTCGTCGCGCGTCTCGGGCTCGATCCGGAGGAGCAGCTCGAGCTCGTTGTCGGGGTCGCGCTGCGGCTGCTGGTTGAAGTCGGCGCTCGCCTGCACCGCGCTCATGATGGGCTTCACGTACGCCGCCTCGCTCGCCAGGATCGAGATCGTCCGCCCGCCCCGCGGCACCACCTGCGCCACCTCCCGCAGCGGGTGGTGCGCCGCCGGGGCCCCCTTCCGGCTCTCCGGGTCCGCCACCCGCAGCGCGCCGATCGCGTCCGCGTTGAAGCGCCCCCCGCTCTTCATCCTCTTGAGCGCGTCCCCGTAGCGCTCGTCGTGGCGCGCCAGCCGCGACGCCACGTCCGCGAAGTCCAGCGGCTCCTCGGGGTTGGGCGGCGGGTGCTTTGGCCCGCTGGCGTCTGGGGCGTCGTCGGCGTCGTCGGCACGCGCGGCCGCTTCTTTTTGCTTCTTGCGGTCCTTGCGGATCCTGTGCGCGGGGGTGGTGGTGTGGAAGGGTCGCGGGAGGCTTGGAATGGGTCGACGGTGGGGTGGGAGCGTAGAGGAGCTGGGGCGGGAGCTGGAGCTGGAGCTGGAGCTGTCTGTATATGCCGCTACGAGGCCCCGTGAAAGTGCATGGTGACTGTGTACTGTGAGAACTGCAGATTCGAGCTGTTGGGTCAATTGGCGAAACACGTACACTCTCCTAAGCTCTGGACGAGCAAGACTCTGCTGTAAGAGTGCCCGAGTAGCCGTATTTCGCATGGTGAGGTATTGTCCAGAACTTGCCAGCTCGAGAGCTCAAGTTCAAGAGAATTTCTACCGCCTATCTTATCGATAAGAGATATCTTGTTACATTCAAGCCATGTAATGCATTCTGGCACCGTCTGATATCCTATGGCTACCTGGATCTAAATATAATAATAACCATCGTGTTGTATATAATCTGTGGTGGACGGCGAGACTTAATTCACTTCCATCTAACTCCAAACCAGTTCCAGGCTTATTCGCTCTATAAGTTCGCTTTCAACTTTTCCTCTCCTATCCGCAACGCCCCACAGATAAACCCTCATTAGCGCATTTTACATTCTTGCTCTCTTGTTCATAGAACGGAAGAACGACATTATCTAGGCGATATATAATCTGGCCGTCTCTGGGACCTAACTATCGCTTCTTGCTTCGTATCTGTGGTAGATTATTAGATATTTTGAGGATATTTCATAGCCGAGTTTACGAGGGTTATTGTGCCACATTTTTCTTTTCTAAGGTGAATAATACAAGGAAGAAGCCATATCCAACACCACACCCAAATACAGAATCAAAAGCCTGTAATTGTGCGAGGAAATAATCAGGCCATGTAGCAGCTTACCTAGATAGTGTAAATGAGGGCTATTGCATTGTACACCTGCTTATGCTCCTAGAGGAGTACGATATATTATTCAATAAGAATAATCCAAACTACTGCAAATACAGGACTGGTTAAAACGTTATGGTCGACTGGTGTAGTGGTTTATCACGTCTGTCTTACAACTGCATCCTATGGTGCATTGTGAGGACACAGAAGGTCGCAGGTTCGATCCCTGCGTCGATCATTCTTTTACTTTTTTGCCTCATAACATTTAATCGCACTGAGAATCTATTTGAAAGTTTAGCTAATTTGTACTTTCTCTTGCTTTATTCTGGAGTTGTGTAACTTGCTCCTCGATCTTTCCCGCATCCATCACCCTATGAAGTTTTAGGTGCCTATGCAAAAGGTAGTCGTGGAAAAGTGATTAAACCAATTTGTCGTTTGAAGACAATAGAATGCCGTTCGAGGTGCAATATCTCAAGACATAAATTCCAATATTTTCCCAGCCATCTTACTATGGACAGCGAAATGAAATCTGCTGTAGCATCCATCACGCTTCTAGAATTTAGCTGTAAACTTACCTCGTCAACATCACAACACAACTCCCAGCTTCGAAATATCAATGCACCATGTTCAATAGCATCCACATCCATATCATACAAGACCCGGGCCTCTATTTCGTAATGGCACAAGTCTAAACGTCTTCATCTTGCAATACAAGAATCCTACGCGGAAGCCTTACTCCTCTTCCCCCTTTTCCCGCCTCTACCCTTCCGCGCGGCGGCGGTTTTCCGAACACCGTTCTCTTTCCCTTGTTGCCCATTCCCCCCATTCAAAGCGCCGCCCGCGTAATCCCCATCACCATCCTCCTCATCGTCATCATCATCAATCGTAGTCGCATTCCCCGCCTTCCTCTTCCGTCTGCCGGCCGTCCGCGATGGCGCCAGGCTCTCATCCTCGACCGGTGCTTCGCTTGGATTACCAGCCGCACCGTCAGCCGTAGTGGTAGCATTGGTGCGCAGCCTGTCGACGGCCTGCGCCATGCGCTTGCTAGCCTGGACCCTCTGGCGGGGTGCGAAGGCCTCCTGTCGTGCGCCGACGCCGACGGCGCCCTCGAAGAAGCGCGTGATGTTGCTCTGGGTGCCCTCGGCGTCGCGGCGGTTCATGTCGCGGACGACGGGCACCAGCACCTCGTCCGTGCGGTCCTCGCTCCAGCCGATCGTCGCCATGAGGAACCCCCGCAGCCCCGCCACGTCCGGCACCCCCCACTGGAACGGCTCCGCCGCGCTGTCCACGTCCGGGTGCAGGTACGCCTCGTACACGGCCGGGCTCGGGAACCCCGTCGGCAGGAACAGCTTCTTGCCCTGCGACCGCCGGAACTTGCGCCGGAATACCGAGTCTTGGTCTGCTTCCTTGGGCCGCCCGTGGATCTGCACGTCCTGCCACCAGTCGTGGAACTGCGAGAGCCCGTCCCTACCGGGGAACTCGGAGAGGATCTCGACGGCGGTGACGGGGCCGACGCCCGGCAGACCTTCTGTATAGTCGGAGCCGAGCAGTTGGGCTAGAGATATAAGCTGCTCCCGGGAGAGGGAGAGCTCCTTCTCGAGATCGGAACCGAGGTAACATTCGACGAACTTGTTGCTGTTGAACATGTTCTTGTACACCCGCGTACCGCCAAATAGGAACGTATCGGAGTCGTCCGTCACTATACCGTCCACCAGACCAAGTCTCACTAATTCGGCACACTGGGCTTCAGCTTCCATCGGTGCGGTAATGTAGGGGATACCGAAGAAACGCAAAAGGGCCTGGCATTCGGTGATCATGATCTGCGTGACTTCGTCCGCATCTCGCCGATCTTTCTTCTGCTGCGTCCGTAATGCCTTGAGTTCTCGCTCATAAGCTTCTTGGTTCTCTCTCTCGGACTTGTGATTCAGCTGACTGGCGAAACGTGCGTGTTCTTCGGCTTCTTCCGCCATTTGAGCTAGTAGTTCCTCTTCCTCGGGGTCGCTGAATTCGTTGTCGTCGAACTCAGCATCGTCAAAAACAGCATTATTGGCATCTTCAGTCACGGCTTCTGGTATATCCGGTTGCTCATTAGCTTCTGGCGCGATTGCACTGACATCTTCAAACATCGGTTCAGGGGACTCGGCATCATGGACGCTATCGACAGTTGGCGGCTCTTCATGAGGTTGTGGAGCTTCAACGTCTTCAAAGTCCGGTTCTGGCGAAGACGGTTTCGAAATGGATTTTGGGGTGGGAACAATGTCATCCATTGCTCGGACATAAGAAGTAGTTGCTTCTTGTATAGTATCTGCATGTCGAGTGTGCTCTGGCTGATCTTCGTTATCAGCAATAGGAGGGTTGATTTTGGTCAGGGTCGCAGGAGATAATCTCGGGGTATCTTGCGTCTCTTCAATATTTGCGGGACTTTTCTGACGAGCCGGGAGAGGCGCCTCGACGATTTGTACGTCGCTTTCATCATCAGAAGACTCGATCTCAATAATGGCGTCTTTCCGCCACCGCCTTTCCTCTTCAAGAGCCGCTTCTCGGTCTTGCTCGTTAATTTCATGCTCAATCGCTCGCTGTGCCTTTAATGACTCGCGGATGTCTGTCTCGTTCTGCATCATCCATGGTGGTAACGGACGGGCTTCTTGGCGCGACTCTTCAACAGGCGCTTCACCCTCTTCGTCATCTCGAACAAATCCGCCAGCCAGTTCATCAGGATTTTGGCCATAGTCCATCTTCCTCTCAGGAGGTTTTGTAGGCGCTGGCTCCTTCTTCGCAAAGATACTAGACTTCCAGTCCAATTTCTCAAATGGCAACGGCCCATCAAATGGATTCTTCACATTGGGAACTGTAGGTGCAGGCTTGAACGCTGGGGCTTTCTTTTTCCTCTTTCTAGATAGCGCAGCCCGCAGGTCGACCTCGCTATCGCTACTCGCATTGCTATCTCGTCTTGGCGTGGCTTTGGGTGTAGATTTTGGCATGGCCGCGTTGGCTCTGTTGTTTACTATATGGGCTATCATACTGCCGCTTGTAGATGCAATCGCCTTCGGTTGTTCGGTAACTGCTTTTTGAGTCCACTCTGGGGCAGGGACATCCTCAAACTCTTCCTCCTCTTCTTGCTCCTGCCCTGGTGCAGTCACCCCGTGCTGGTTTTTAAGAGACATGGCGATGGCTCGGTTAAGGTCCTCTTCTTCGTCATCTATAATGGCTTCATCCTTGTTCCGAGACTCAAAGAGATCATCGACACCATCGGCCATGTTCCCCCCAACAAACAACGACTCCTCGTCATCGGGAATAAACGCGTCCTCGCCATTAGTTTGAGACATTATTCGGGTCTTTGGTAGCCTGTTCAGACCTTCGACAGGAACATCTTCGAAATCTTCGTCATCTTCCCACTCCTCGTCCTCTTCTTTGGTCTGGTATTGAAATTCTAGCGCTTCAATATCGATAGGGTTGTGTATCTCGCCGCGATCCCTTTCCTTGCTAACAACACCGAGGGCCCATCCACCCTCTGCTCCCTCATTCTTGACAAGGATATATTCGCGGTCCTTCTCACCGGCTATGCGGGCGTTCTTGGCCAGAGTAAGATCGGTACCAGTCATACCAGCCTCCTGCATAAGCCTTTGTGTCAGATGATTTCTTTCTCGTACTCTTTCGATCTGAAATCGAGAGAACGCCATCCGGTCGGGGAACATGCCGTCTAACTGCTCTTTGCTCAGACCCATCCTCAATCGACTACGTAGTCTTGCTGCATTCAGGATATTATATCTATCGACGGCAGGTAGACTCTTGAAGAACTCGCCCTCGAAGTCGATCTTGCTGAAGTCGTAGACATTGATGTCTTCGCCGCTGTTGAACTGCCTCGCGTACTCCTCTAGCTCCTCGATACTCATCATGCGAGGATCTTCCGGTCGGCCCATGCCCTCGATACCGCCGTCCAACTCTGGTAAATGATAGGCATCTTGCTTGAAGAATTTCCTGTTCTTCTGCCGCTCGGCTTGGTCCATGCCTAGCTCGTCCACATATACCAGTTTATCCGCGTCGGGAATCTCCTCGACGGGATCTTCCCCGACTGGCCTCCCCTGCTGTTCGCGCTCGACGTTGCGGCGGCGCTTCTCGCCCTCCTCTTCGGCGATGCGCTGCATCTGCACGGCGAGCAGCTTGCCGGCGGTGCGGACGGCATCCTCTCTTCTTCCCTCGCGTCTGCGTTTGCGGTTGTTGATGGTCTGGCGCTTGAGGGCGGGGGCGCCGCCGTCGAAGACGAAGACGGGACGGATGCCGAACCACAGCAGCTTGCATATGCGGCGGAAGAAGCCGACGACGTGGGAGTTGCGCAGGGCGTTGCCCTCCTTGTCGCGCACGGCTTTGAGGAACTGGTAGATCCAGATGGAGGCGTCGACGGCGAGTCGCTTTCGGTTTAGCGTCGCGAGGTTCGTGGGCCGCGCGCACGGCTGGATTACGGTCCAAAGTCCGTTCACACCCATGATCGTTGGCGACTTGGAGGAGGATTACGATCTCGGTTTATAGTCTGATTTATGAAGAGACGAAACGCTCAAGTGTCGTGCGAGTGTGAGTGCATGATGATCGATTTGATCTACACGCTGAAGACCCGAAGTTGGGCTGGGAAGTTGAAAAAGAGAAGGCCTGTTGCCTGTCAACGCTGTGAACAATTAACAATTCAAGATGACGATGACGATGACTCGACGCCGTAGCGCGACTGCCTATCGCGTCTGGTCTTTGAACTAGCAGGGGTAATTAAAACTAGAGATCTTATCGATAAACCCCACGAAGCATTGCATTGAATTGCTTAAGTTCTAAACCGTTCTGGTACTGGTAAATTGATCCCTTACGTTGCATGTGATAGGAACCATGCCTATCTGAACCTCCATACTGTTCTACGACCCTACGTGAATTGCAACATCTCCAGTACGCCTGGTCTAGGAACTACAGGCCGAGGTTGTAAGGATTTGGGGCAGTGCGCAGCCATGGACAAGATTGACGACGCCAAAGCCGAGGCCGAGGAGTTCCTCAAGTCGCTCCTCAACAAGAACCTGCGCGTCTACACGACCGATGGACGACTCTTCATAGGGACATTCAAGTGCACCGATACTGTTCGTCCACCTCCCCCGCCCATCCTGTCAACCATATCTACTCCATCGCAATTGCATCGTGCTAACAAACGTCCCGTTCGCAGCACAGCAACATCGTGTTGTCGCTCGCGTACGAGTACCGGCAACC